TCGCGAGTGGGTCATGTGTTTCGAAAGAGACATCCTTATTCATTTCCGGGAGGTAGTGGCAACGTTTTCGCCCACAACACTCGTCGAGCAGCTGAAGTATGGATGGACCGATATAAAAGATATTATTACAATGCCGTGCCATTATCTAGAACGGTCCCATTTGGAAAGTATGCTATTCTCTATTAGGTGTTCTAGAAAAAAGAAAGGACGATGACAGTTTTAATGTAAATTGTTATTGTTATTACAGCATAGCAGATCGATTGGCATTGAAAAAAAAACTCGGATGTAAACCGTTTAAATGGTATTTAGATAACGTTTATCCGGAACTTAAATTGCCAGCGAATGTAGACGTGTTCGTAGGCAGCATTAGACAGGGCTACATGTGCTTAGATACATTAGAAAACCAAATAGGAAAAACTGCAGGTATCTTTCCATGCCACGATTACGGTGGCAATCAGGTATGTAATTACAGTTTAAAAAATTACTTTCGTGAATAGCTATGTTATTATAATATATTTTATAATAAATCAAATAATAATAATAATAATAATAATAATAATAATTTTTTACAGGAATGGACATTTACAATTGGTGGATCAATTAAGCATGACACGATGTGTTTATCTCCAACAGATTATTCAGCCATGAGTTTATTAGTTATGAAACCCTGTGACTCTTCGACCGACGAAGTTAGTATACAAATTATTAATTTACACTTTCTGTGGGACTAAATTGATGGGTTACTGAGTTCTACAGCGACTGCAGGGTTTTTAATTTATAATGGAATTTATTAATTTATTATCAAATTTATACTTTATAATATGTATTATGTACTTTTAAAGGGCGTTGCCCGTATGCGTCTTGTTATCTTAATTGTATACCTTTTAAAGTTTTAAATAGCCAAATTGCGTCGCAATTATATAGGTAGCTAATAATTTTAGTATATCCCAAGTGCGTCCGTAATATTATCGCTGATAATAAACAATAAAAACATTTTATACAGTCAGACTTCCTTACTCAATACTCATACATGAGTAGAAAAAAGTAGTAGTGAACAAATCAAAAATGCGTTGTTAGAGTTTCCATTCAAAATTGAATTAGTGCACTTATATGCCTTAATTTGAAAATAAATCCTTTCTTAGAAATTTTTAAAAAATATTTAAATAGAGAACTCTAATCAAATATCTGAAAAAAATAGATTAGTCAATAAAAAAAAAATTATATTGATTAAACATAATAAAATAAAATACCAAACTGCACAAATATCTAAATTCAATTTTGTCAAGATCGACAAGATCATAGCATTGAAAAATCAATCAATTATGTAAAAATAGTATAAAAACAAAAAAATATTAAAATAATTCAATTAAATAGACTTTAAATTTTTAAAACTTATAATAAAAATGATTTTTCGAGTTGTAATTCAATTCACCACCTTGTGGTTCACTTTAAGAAATAAGAATAAATAATTATGCTAAATGATTTGAGACATACTGCGTCTTTTTAAAACACCCAATAACTGAATTATTTTGGGGTTTATGTTGAATCAAGTATTTATGTTACTTTACTTAAAACCTATAATACCTACACCATACTTATACAATTATGTGTATTATTGTTTTAGTGGAAATATGACGAAAACACTAAACAATTAAGACTTAAAAATGTTAACCTGTGTTTGGATACACTTGGATTACATGAAATGATAAGTATTAATGTATGTGATAGTCTTAATTCAAATCAAAAATGGGAATACTTGATCGCAGCAGAAATCGAGAATAACGTTTGAATCCTACAAAATGGTAATCAATAACAGAATTAAATTATTAATTAATTATTGATTTCCAAAATCAAAAATAAAAACTACTTAAATGAAAATCCAAAGATCAACTTTTTATACATTACATAGGGAAGACATCAAATAAATACCTACAAGGATTTTTAAAATTATTTTATTATGCATTGTACAATTAAATTTTAATAATATTGTAATGGGATAAATGTTAAAACAAATAGTTTTGAGTTTTTTTACTACCTATATAAGTATAGCCGTATAGATCAATTATCATACATATACAATATTTTTAGTTTTAAAGTCATTTTAAATTTATCGAAAACCTAAGTATTAGTACATTATTAAAATAAATAGATGTACACTTATGTCTTAAAATCCTATGTATGAAAATACGATATTATGTATAATTATTTTAAATTTTAATTTAGAAAACGTTTAAGATAAAAATAATTTTATTTAAAATGTAAATATAGTATTGTTAACTTTTTTTTTGACATTTTTATACATTTTTTTTTTTTTGTGTTATTCTATTTTTAAGCATAATCATGATTATTTTATATGGTTTATAATGTATCCTTGTAAAATACTTTATAATTGATAAGGCTGTGATTTAAATCTTACCATGATTATTAAATGATATGTACTTATTCACTATTGTAAATATATAATTTTATTTTTACATTCAATGTCCTATTTTGAGTGATCAAGTCTATATATTAATGTACAATTAGCCAATTATAGTCTATAGGTACCTACTACCTATAATCAAAGACTGGTTAATTCAAAACTTACATATAATTTGACATGAGTGTTATTTAAAATTTTAATCTATGATTAAACGTTTTAATTTGATAATTATAGATAAGTACCTACATAATGTTATGTATTGCAATTTTTATTTATTATGATAAGTATCTACCTTAAAACTCTTCATCGATGTCAATAACATGGGAAATAAAAAATTCAAATTTCCACAATTATTGGTTTCTGAAACAAAACTAAATAAAAAAATTGCTTTTATCAAAAATTATTTTTGCATAAAGATTCCTGTTTTCCTTAATTATTGTTTTTGTTTTTTCCTAAAATCAAAAAATGATAACTTTAAATCCCAAAATTAACAACTAGATTCATTTTTTTACCAGTAAAGATAATAAAGTTTAAGATTGAATCAGTTTCGTAGTTTACTAGTACAAAAGGTAATAACAGATACAAAAAAATTATAAATATGTAAATACGATTACATATATACATTATTGGAAAATAAATACCTTTATTACTCTTCTTGTAATCTAAAATAAGCACGATTTGGTATTAGGTAAAGCAGTTTTAGAAATAAAACTCTGCTAATTATTGTTCATATTTACTTATAATCTCCAATTATTTTTATACTTCTAAAAAGCTCTTTTCTGCATTCAATTTTTGATTCAAATATGTATACAATATTATGTACATTATTATTAACTATAATTTATAATATTATAATAATATAATGTATAATTTAAATTTATTTAGTAAAGATAGTAAAGATAGATGAAAACAATATAATATATATGCGTGTACGACGTTGTTTCCTTAATTACATTGGAAATTAGTCAGCATATATATTTAATATTACTATATTTCTATACAGTAAAAATATACAAGGTTTAGAACCTTATGTTTTTATGCAGAATAATGGTATAAGGCTCATAAATTGGCAACTGCTACGTCCTGCGTCGTCTGTTTTGTGATCATCATGTCTAAAAGTTGATCTCGACACAGCTCTAGAAATTTCCCGGTAGTCAATTGTTACACATATAAAGTACTTACATGATTACTACAACCAAAAAAATTTAACTCATTTTGTCATGGTAATAGACAAATATAAATACGAATAATTCAATAAAAGCTTTAAGGGCAAAGGCACATAGCTCATTTGTAAGTTGTAAATATTAACTAGTTAGTCTATGGTTAGATAGATATATCTAATATAATATATATTAAAATAGAGCTTGGGAGCCTAAAAAATACATAAAAATGCAAAAATGACCTAAAAACTTTAAAAAATGTGCATAGGTGGGTGAAAAAAATTTAATTTTAAAATAATAATAATTATTTATTTATTTTTTATATTATACAAAATAGGTAGAAATTTATTTTAAGAAGTAAATTAAACAAATATATTCAAATTTGAATTTATAATCAATTATATTACTTTTTCAATATCAATGGACTGGAATAGGTAAATGAGATTACTTATACAATTAATATATTTTAAAAAAACCTAAAATAAACAAAAATGAGTTTAAAATATACAAAATTAACGTAATATTTGTAAAAATGCAATGAAATGCATTTAACAGAAAAAAATGCAAAAAAGTGCAAAATAAAAATTACACATTCTAAATTGTTATATAATGAAACTAATTTAGTTTTTGTATAAAACTGTATAGTTTTTTAAGCAAAAAAATTCAAAATATTCAAAATCCTAATTCTAGTTATAAACTTATAAACGTATATTGTGAAACACTCGTACGGCTTCAAAAAATAATAAATATACGTCTATAAACGTCTATAAACGTCTTGATAAGGTCTGTAGCAGAGGTTCCCAAACTTTTAATAGCATGACCCATTTGTCCTATTTTGAAAATAATTTTAATTTTGGCAACCCACAATAATATTAATATGCTTTTTTTTTACTAAGTTATTTTAGAAAAAGTAACAAATCATGTCTAAAACAATGTATTTTTTTAAAATACAATAACGCGACCCACTAAAAATATGATTGCAATCGATAGTTTGGGAATCTCTGGTCTATCGGTCTATGCCGTCTATGGTGTCTGTTTATGTTACCTGATCGTTATGATATCTATAATAACAGCCATGATAAACAAAAAGCGTAGTGATTATAGTGATAAAATATATTATGATTTTCGAAACCCAATTCTTATCATTTTTTTGATAGTATAGCTGAATTAGTTGATTCAAATTTATAATTTTCATTTTATATTTTAAAAAACTGTTGCACTCCTACTATGATTTCGCATTTTTACTTCGCACTTTTGCAATTCGCATTGTTCATAATGCTATACAAACAATAAATAGTTGTTTCGAGTTTTATGAAGTTTCTCCAAAAAAAGTATGAACGTATGTTGTATTGTACTTAAAATTTTTTCCTGTTAATATGTTAACTATTAAATATTTATCATACAACTGACTTTTGAATAATGATTATTTGATAATATTGGATGTACTAAATTATGAAGTATGTTTTAAATTTCGATTAAATATTTTAACTATAATAGATATCAAGTATAAGATGTTATAACATTTTTAATTTTTTTTTAGTTTAAAAATGAAAGTTTCTTGGAACTGGACCGAGCTCTGTGGTCCTAATGATTTTGTTCCATTATTTCGCCCAGGGTATGTGTTGAGTATTTGTGCAGAAATGGCAGTAATTCGTCTACCTATACTATTTATATTTATGTTGACATCAACATATTACTGTAGTCATCTGTCTGATTGGATAATACGTACCAGACGTGAAACTAATGTTCTACGTTGCCGTATAATCATTGCTAGTATGCTGTCAATCTTGCCAATATTACAACTAATTTGGGAAGTATACGAATTCACTGAAAGCCAACTATATCCAATTGAAAGTTTAGTTTTAATAATCCAATGTTTTACATGGTTGATACATACATTATACATTGCGTGTATCCGCCATCATTTAGGAACAAGCTTAAGAGGTTCAAAAGTTGTAATAATCGCTTGGGTTTTATGTTTTTTATCGTCAATAATATCCTTACGTAGTACTTTCATAGTATTTATTGAAAGTACTTATGTAACTATTTTACAAGTTAGACTATGGTTTACGTTATTCAATTGGATGCTTCAAGTATTTTATTTTTTTACCATGCTCTTTAAAGAAGACGTTGTAAGAATAAGGCATGTAGACAGACTTCGTTTTCTTGCCCAGGTAAATTCTTTATGATTTCTTTAATTGTATTAATAAATCATCTTATTATATGCTTATATTTTAATTGTTTACTATTGTTTTTAATAATTCCTGATAAATATTTCAATATATTAAAGGAAAACAATTAAAAATAATATATCGGTGGATCTTAATTTTTTAATTTAATTATATTGAAAATTTTAAAAAATAAAATTAATTTTTAACTTACAGTTTAAGTAATTTAAATTACACATTGACGATCTATTTTTATAAAAATATTTAGGTATATCTGAAGAAGTAAATAATTTAATTTGAACAATATTTATATATATTATTGATGTTTATACTTTTAGCAATCACTTGAGAGACGTTCTTTAATGACTTCGTCATATAGTCGTTTTAATGATGAATTTGATCCATACTATTTGGGTATGGCATGTGATAATGAACATTATGGTTTTATGTCTTGGCTCACATTTGGTTGGGTTGGCAATTTAATTTCCAAAGGAGACAAAAAAAGGTTACATCATACGAGTGATTTGTTTGATTTACCTGAATGGTTGACACCAGTGTATGTGTCAGCTAAAATGGAAGAAGCATTTAGACATCAACCCTCTGTAACAGCTGCATCGCCTATTCATTTGCCAGCTGATCATCAATCTAGAGTACCAAAAATATCATTGTTACAAGCTCTACACAAATGTTATGGAAAACAATTTTATGGGATTGGATTACTTAAGTTATTTGCAGACATTTTTGGATTCGCAGCACCTATTTTTTTAAGTAAACTGATTGAATTTGTATCACATCATGAAGAACCAATAAGTCATGGATATGTATACATGGCAGGGCTTGTCTTAACGTCACTTATAAGTAAGATCAAACATTAAATTATGATATCTTTAAATCCAATTTTTAGTAATTTTAATAGCATAAAATGTATTGTTAATTTTAAAAAGTGTTTAATAACTGTAATACTTATGACTAAACCCTCTTCAACGAGTGTTGAGCAATATGTTATAAATTTTTACTTAATTTATTTCTCTTGACTTTCTCCTACAGGCTAACATCTACTTATAAAAATGTCAAGGAACTGAAACCTTCTTTATGATTTTATTTATTACCCCTAATTTTTTATACTTTCAGGTACATTATTTAGTGCACATTTTGAATACCAAATACACATGATAGGAATAAAAATCAGAGGTACTTTAGTGACTATGATTTATAAAAAGACATTAGAATTAAATACTGTAATGTTAAACAACTTTAGGTAATTGAAATTGAGTCAACTTTTTTTATTATTTATTTAATCTATGTATAAACATTTATTATATATTTTTTATTTTTTTAGTATTGGAGAAATAATTAATTTTATAAGTACTGATACTAGTAATTTAGTGAATGCTTGCAATAGTTTCCATTCAATGTGGAGTGTACCTTTTCAAGTAAAATTATGAAATATTAATAAACTTTAATTAGACCTGCTTATTTTATATTCATGTTTTAGTTGGTTATTGTTTTATATTTACTTTATCAACAATTGGGAATCGCTTTCTTGTCAGGAGTGTTTGTGTCTATTTTACTGATACCTGTAAACAAGATTATTACTTCAAATATTGGTATATATATGTCATATATGTATTTTAGTATAATGCATATTATTATTAATAAAAGCTGATAATTATTTGATTATATTTTTATAGGTAAATTAACTGAAAAGTTAATGAAAGAAAAAGATAAACGTGTTAGATTAATGTCTGAAATTATAAAAGGTATTCGAGTAATTAAATTTCATGTTTGGGAAAAATATTTTATTGATAAAGTTAGCGGTACGTAATGCTATATTTTACTATTTTATTATGTTTTAGTAAAAATTTTTTCGTTCCTAGATTACCGAAAAGGTGAAGTCAAAAACCTGAAAAAAAGAAAATATTTGGATGCTTTATGTGTGTACTTTTGGGCTACAACCCCAGTAACAATATCAATGTTGACTTTTTCAACTTATATTTTTCTTGGAGGTCAATTAACAGCATCAAAAGTAAGTATATATTAGTTTAACATTTAAAATTATTGTACATCGAAACTGTCATTATAAAATGTATTAAGGTATTTACCAGTATGGCTCTACTTCATATGTTAATAACACCATTAAATGCTTTTCCTTGGATACTGAATGGTGTCACTGAAGCTTGGGTGTCTGTTAAAAGAATTCAACGTTTAATTGAAGTAATTCATGAATAATATTCTTATATTAAAGGTTATTAATTATATTTATACTTTTGATAAATATATATTTTTAGGTAGACGATTTACAATTACAGTCTTATTATAGTCTAATGCCAGTTCAGTATGGAAAAACATTTGATAATGCTGTGTCATTGACAAAATGTTCCTTTAATTGGGGCCTTAGATCATTCCAACTTAAAAACATAAATTTTTCTGTTGCCAAAGGATCTTTTGTTGGTATTGTTGGGCCTGTAGGTAGTGGAAAATCTACTTTGTTAGCTGGCATTTTAGCTGAAATAAACAAAGAAGAAGGAATAATTGCATCTTCAAATATGAGAGATGGTAAAGACAAAAGGTTATATTGTATTACATTTTTAATTTCTTTTATATACCAAAACATGTGTTTAATTTATTTTAGGATTTGCATTTGTTGCACAGACACCGTGGATTCAAAAAGGAACAATAAAAGATAATATACTATTTGGTCAGAATTTCAGTTTGGAAAAATACAAGTAATTTAATCTTTTGATAAAAAACCCATCTTTACTAATTTATCAATTTTTTTTGAAAATTAATTAAATTTAATTTAAAAAAAAAAAGTTGATACTGATAGTATGTAATACACTATTAGAAAGTTATTTTTATTTACACATATTAAAAGTATGCTACATCTTATACACGCCCAACATAATAATAATATTTAAAAAAATAATATAAGTAGAAAATAAATTGTAACTAAAAAAAATTTTTTTTTTATTTATACTAAAATAAATTATATGAATTTGAAAAGATGAAAAAAAAAATTTCTGCTTCTTTTCTGTAAATTTGATAATATTATTTAAGTTTTATTTACTATAATAAATAAATATAAATCTGTTATTTAATTTTACTATGGTATGCGTCTATAATACAGAAACAATTCATCTCTAAAAATTTAAAATAAAACAAGACGATTTTTTTATAAGACAATATTCATTATTTAAAAATGTATTTGTTTTTGAAATAATAATTTTTATTGTTATAATTTTTAACTTTTTTGAATAGCAACATACATTTTTAATTTCAAATTTTAAAGTAGAAATATGAAATTTTATATGTATATTATCACAAAAGTGAAAGACTTTAAGATATAAAAATGTTGTTTTATTTTGATTAGAAAATAAGCAATTTTTTCTTTTTTTAATCGTCAATAGATTTTGAAATAATAAAAGTTGTTTGATAAATGAATCACTTAGTATAACAACTATACTCTATTTTATGAAGATGTAACTTCAAGCAGTGACTGATTTTAGTCCAGTTTGGTTAGACCACACTCTTCAATAAATCTGTTTTTATTAGTTTCTATCTCTGAAGATTAATTGTGGCCTAAAACTTGAGCAAAATTCTAGCTAAGGGAATAATAGAGTGAAAATCCAAAATTTGTTGTACCAGTTGAGTGTTAACCACGCCTATTACTACTGTCATGTACAGAAGATTGTAGCCTATGGTTTCTCTTAAAAAGAATAGATATGAAATAAATTTATCTACTGATATTTAATTTTCCATTAAAAATAATGAACAAAATATTATTAATTTCAGAGCCTAAATTTAATATTATTGTAGGTCAAACAAGTTCAAACACTAGTTGTGTATTATTCATGTTATAAATGTTTTATTTTATTTGTAGAACAGTTATCAAAAGTTGTGGTCTAGTTAAGGATTTACAAGAATTTTCTAGAGGGGACTTAACTCTTATTGGTGAAGCAGGAGTAACTCTGAGTGGTGGTCAAAAAGCTCGTTTGGCTCTTGCCCGTGCTGTATATCAGGTAAGGTTGGATTTTTAGTATACAACTAAAAAGAAACTTTAAAGAATTTCCAGAACTTTTATCTTTGTAAATTAATTAAATACATTATTATTGTAAAGAAATCATAAAATGATAAGTAAGGAATGCTGTTTAGTTAAACATTTTTATTGTATTATCATAATTTTCAAAGTAATTTTTAAACATATCACATACTATATTACCAATAGATTATATAATACTCCTAACTTAATAATTGCCATAAGCAAAACTATGAGTCAGGCGATTCAAAAGTGATACAGACAGTTAAATGGAATACATATTAATGTGTTTTATAAAAAAATTGTATTTAAAAAAAACTAAATATTATTATTATGGTTATTTTCCTAATATGTGGTGTCATACTCGTATACTCATTAAGTCATAAATAATAAATATCTATTTTTATTACTATTTACAATAATAATTCATTTTATGATATTTATAACAAGCTACTTCTCCTGGTATAATTATTAATAAATTATAATAAATAAATAGGTATAGAGTTTTAAAATATTCTTTTAAAATCAATAAATAAAAATTATTTTTAAGTATTTTCATTTCTATTTAATTTATTCATCTATATTTATTTCAATACAATGTTTTGATCGTAAAGGAATTTTTGTGATATATTTTTCTCGAATATACGTATATAGTTGTATATAAAAGTAATAAGAAGAGTGGTGGTGTAGAATGTTGACAGGCCATATTTTTGTTATACTGACAATGGCATTCAAACTAAAAGTAGGCTGTGGCATTTCATAAATATTAGTATATTTACTTGGAGTTCAATATAAACTTAAATATATTGTAGCAATATGACTGTAATATAAAAGTTTTGAAATCTAGAACCCTCTCAAAAAATTTAAAAATAAAGATGTAAATGATATTATTATGATCTATTGTCCTATATGTATAGTTCTGAGATATGTATCCTGAGAAAAATAAAAAAACAAGCTAGCAATATTTAAGAGGAAATTGCTAAGAAAAGTATATTGACCGATTTTTAATAGTAAAACCAATGATTATAAAAAATTATACAATTATAAACTTTTTAACTAATTAAAAAATCTTTAGGAAAACCTAGGTTAAGGTAGAAAAACTGTGTCAAGAAGGATATTAAAACTATAGAACTAGAAATCATGTGGAGAGAGATGTAAAAGACAGGAACAAATGACAAGATTAATGTTTAGCATTATGATATTGAAGGTCGAGAGCAAAGGTGTGAGAGAGAGAGAGAGAGAGAGAGAGAATGAGAGAGTGATGACTATGATATAAAAATAATTAACCAACATTTAAGTATATTAAGTATTAAACAAAAAACAAAGCCTAGATTGTTAATTGTATAAATATAGGCAAGTTCTTCTACAACATTTAAAAAATATACAAATCTGAATTACTAATATATTTATTTTTTTTTGAGGGAGTTGGCCAATTTCAATATATTTTGGTCTAGCTTTGTACATATTTTTAATTTTTTTTATTATTCATTTAATTTTAATATATACTGTATAGTAAATTTTTATAAATTAATAATATTTGATTATACCAGTTTTCAAATTGAGGTAAATATTGTAAAATACAGATTTTTTTCATTTGAATCAATATCCCCTTACATTGACGGTCTTAAATATTTGTAATAACATTTTTTAAATTAATTATTACTTCTAAAATCAGTTTAATATATTGTGCTAATTTTTTTTTTTTCAGAACAAATTTATGTATTTAATGGATGACATTTTTGCTGCGGTAGATATTAATGTTGCTCAACATTTATATACTCATTGTATTAATGGCTTACTTAAAGATAAAACACGTATCATTTGTACACATAATAGTCAATTTTTACTCTCAGCTGATTGGGTATTAATAATGAATAACGGTACAATTGTAAATCAAGGTCGACCTTTTGAAGTGCTAAATGATTATGATGTGAAAACTGTAGATGTCAAATTTGATGAAGCAAATAATAGCTCATACCTAACTATGGATGATTGGACTCCTATTAAAGAATCCGAAGTTATAAATGATTTGAATGACAGAGAAGACCAAGAAGAAGGAGTGATTAATTTATCTGTTTATAAACAATATTGGAAATCTGTTGGAGATGTAATTGTATACCTGCTATTTTTTGCTATAGTTATAATGCAGGTACGTACAAATTATATAATACAATGATTATTACATTAAATATATTTTTTCAACAGAGCTACTGCATAATAAGTGATAACTTATAATTTATATTACATCTAAATTTTTGTCTTATATATTCTAGGGTACTCGAAATATATCAGATTTATGGTTATCTCACTGGGTAAATGAAATGAAAAATCAACATGATGGTCAGTAAAAATATACAATTTAATGTTTAAAAATATTACCTTAATTTTTGGTTGTTTATTTAAAGAGCTTTGTATTTAAACATAAAAATGTATTTTATTAGAAATAATTGAATTGGTGATAATTGATAATATATTTCAGTGAACATTCTCTTTATTGAATCAAACTAATGAAAATTAGATCGCTCATTTTTTTATTTTGTTTTGTTTCAGATAACGCTATTGAAGATTTTAAAGTTATACAAGATGAAAATAATGAATATTTATATACTTATACATTAATTGGTATGATAAACTCGGTTGCTACATTTTTTAGAGCCTTTATATTTGCATATGGTGGAATTAAGGCTTGTAAAAAAATACATGACTGTTTATTAGCCTCTGTTATGAGTGTGTGTATTTTTAATGGTTAATTTCTAAATTTTTATTTTTTATTTATTAATAATAATTTTTTATTTTTATTTAGGTAAAAACTACATTTTTTGATATAAATCCTCTTGGCAGAATATTAAATCGATTTTCATCAGATATAAATATTATTGATGATTCATTACCATTTATTTTAAATATTTTTATTGCCCAATTTTTTCATGTTATTGGTACTGTAGGTTCCATTATATATAGTATACCTTGGGCTTTAATTATTGCTGTGTTTTTAACTCCTTTATATTATAAATTGCAAATACGATACAGAAATTCATCTCGTGAACTTAGACGTATATCAACTGTAGCACTATCACCGCTTTATAACCATATAAATGAATCATTACAGGGATTATCAACAATACGTGCTTTTAGAGCTGTATCCAGGTTAATTTTTACCATAATAAAATTAATTTATAATAATAAAACGCAAATCACTTACTTAATTTTTATTTGATAATTTTTTGAAATATTTAGATTTGAACGTGAAAATGAAGACAATCTTGAAAACTATCTGAAAGCAGATTTTTCTTCACAGTTAGCATTTTTATGGTTCAATTTCAGATTAAGAATCATGGGACTAACTATGTTATTTTTTATTAGCTTAATTTCTGTATTTATTCATCAGTGGAATCTCACCAATGCAGGTTTGTATTCATTAATACATTTTATGAATTGATAAATTAGGAATATTTATCTGAATCAACAATTTAACAATCAAATAATTGTTGAAAAACAAAATAAATTTTAATGTATTAATAAATACTGTTTCTAAAAAAATGTAATTTGTTTGATATTGTTATTAACATAATATAACTTGAAATTTATATTAATAGGATATCTTGGGTTGTCATTGACTTATGCATTAGCATTGACAAATCTACTTGGAGGATTAGTGAATGCCATTGCAGCAACAGAATGTGATATGATTAGTTTAGAACGTGTTTTTAGTTATATTGATAACTTAGAAAATGAGACTGATGTTGAAGACTCTGTTTCGCCTCCATTTGCATGGCCAACAAATGGAATTATACAATTTTCCAATGTTTTTCTAAAATATAGGTAAATTATTAAAATCTTAAGTGCTTTGGAATATTTTATATATTTTAATTTTTAGACATGATTGTTCAATGTCTTTGAATGGAGTTTCATTTGAAACAACTTCTTCAGAAAAGATTGGTGTTATTGGTCGAACAGGAGCTGGAAAAAGTTCATTATTAGTGGCTTTGTATAAAATGTGTGATATTAGTAGTGGTGCCATTTTTATAGATGCTGTGAATCTTTCTAAAATTTCTTCGAGACAAATAAGGTATATCTACCTAAATATTTAATATTGATATTTAGTTTAATTTAAACATATTATAATAGTTGAAAATATAAAGTAATACAATGGACTCTGCTCATTTTTTAGAAATCGTTTATGTATAATACCTCAAGATCCGTTTTTGTTTGATGGTACCATACGTGAAAACATTGATCCATTTAAAGAATATATGGATTCAAATATATGGTCTGCATTGCAACGCTGCCATTTAGCAGCAACTGTTAAACGTTTAGGTGGTTTGGGATGTTATATTGGAGAAAATATCAACTTATCTGTGGGTGAAAAACAATTGCTGTGCTTAGTAAGAGCAATACTAAAGAATTCTAAAGTAATATGTGTAGATGAAGCTACTGCAAATGTAGATGAAATGACTGATCGCAAAATACAAGAAACAATAAGAACTGCATTTAAACATAGTACTGTTATTACTATTGCTCATAGAATTCGAACTGTGATGGATAGTGATCGGTATGTCAATAATTTATAAAACATAAAAACAAATTAAGAACTAATCCATGATTTTTACCTGTTATATTTTTTGTAGAATTTTAGTGATGGACAATGGGAAAGTAGTAGAATTTGAGTCTCCAAATGTTCTATTAGAAAATAAAAATTCTTATTTTTATAATTTGATTCAACAAGAATTCAAATAAAAACTTGTGATCTCAGTTTCACAATTTTAATGGTGCGATTTAAAATAAATAATTTAAGTTTTTTTTTATTATATATTTAACTATATTTTATCCAATTAATGATTAAATTTGTATATTTGTTATGATTTATATCATGTAAAAAAATTACTATTCATTTATTAAGATACTAAGACAACAATATTAGTGAATTTTTAAATGTAATTAATATTTTTTGTCTGGGCACGCTGTATAAAAAATAATATCATTATCATTAAATATATATTATATTTGTTTATTGACTATTAAACTATCATTTGATAAAATTAAATACATCAAATTGTTATTGTAGATAATTATTATTATATGTTACCTATGAGCTTAAAAATTATTATTGTTACAAAAATACATTAATTTTTAAATATGAAAACTATTAATTTTTTTATCTTAACTAAATGCCTAAATTGTATATCAAAAAATAATGAATAAATTGTGAAACTAGTAATATGTTTTATATATTATAAATTAGTAATAAATTAACCAATTAACAGTCGAAGTACCATAGCTCCATATCTTCCAAATTTATTATCAAGAATCTATTATTCTTAGTGTATAAAATTAAATAATTGAAAAGCTACTCGAATTTTGATTTTGATAAATCAATATTTCCAAAAAAGTTATCTGTTTAATAAATGTACTGTTCAAAAAAGGGCAGTTTTCATTTGAAAAATGAAATTTTGTATTTAAAATATAATTCTTAAGTACTACAAAAAAAATCTCAATAATTCGAAAAAAAGACTTCAAAATTGCTTAAAATGTATAAGAATAAGATTTTGAATAATTGCGTAATTGATGAAGAAAAAGGAAGTAAGCATGCTTGGTTAACTACTGTTATGGGCTACGAGATATGCTAATAATATAAATATATATAATATAATATGTAATATTGCTAGAAGGATAATAAATCATTATAATCTTCATCATAAATCAAGATAGCAGTCGTTGGGGTCAAAATGTCGAAGTTGACATCCTGGAGTTTGTTGTTTCCAAATGTGAAAACAATTCCAAGAATTAATATGAATTAGAAGGTTGTCAACTACAACAATAGGAGACTTCTTTGTATATAAGGGAGTCCAGAGACCAACAGAGGCAGATGTACCAGAGCCACGAAGACCTGAGCACCTTCACAACACTCGGCCACTTTTTGTATCAGTTACATGTACTTCATTTCTAATAAGAAATCTAATAACCGGATAGATAAAAATTTGTATTGCTCAATTTACTTAAAGAAACCAATAAGTATACCGATGACTAACGAGTAATGGTACATCATTAGGTCAATACTATAGAGTATAGAGTCAGTATAGAGTATAGACTGAACTGACTAAAGTATGCACTAATTGCACTATGCAGTTATTGCAATTTACAGAAATCTGAAATTAAATAGACATGAATTGCGCCATAATCAAAGATTTCTGAAATTCACTAATGGGTTACTAGCACTGTACACGACACACGTGCACTTACTCCTACTTATACTACTGCCATGCCGACTCGTCGATTGCCGCCATTGCCGGTATTTTTGTGCTATAAATGTAAACGAACAATGCAAAACTATTTATTTTTTGAGATAAATTGAAAACAATGAAAACTGAAAAGTCGTTTCTTTTGTTAAATTTTTATCTTACACTTCATATCTGTCGTTCGTCCGTTGACTGCAGCAATCTTTACGTTTGAGTGTATATTTAATATTTATTATTTTATTTTTATCGTGGATTTTATATGCGTCGTTACTCGTTAGTCCGTTAACTGCAGTTGTAACGTTTTGAGTTTATGTTCATTGTTAAATTAAATATATTTTAACCTAACCTACCACGTGATTTTTCCCACAGTGAACCATTTTCAAAATGGATCAAGAGGAAGACTGGGACTCACCTTCTGGTATGCAATATCAACCTCAACAGCAGTACATACCTCAACAACAATATAGGAAAACCTTTACCAGTAATCCAGACGATTTGCTCATGGATATAGAATCCAAGTTTGCGGGTTTGATTATTGGTAAAGGTGGTGCTGTAATTAAAGGCTTGAGGAAGGAAAGTGGTGCGTTTATCTCAGTCATAGATGGCGATTCCTACTTGTTAAAAACTGTGAAGATTTCAGGAAATCCAAAAGCCAAAGAACATGCTCAAAAGCTCATTAATGATATCATTGATGCGAACGATCAGGAAAAAATAAGACAAAAGTTAAAAGAAGAATCAGACATAAAACTGAATGAACCAGTTCAGCTCACTTTTAATTGGGATGAGTTGATGAAAGAAGAAGCAGAAAATCAAAAAAAAAGATTAGCGGCTTTAACACCAATTATTAAAGATTTCTATAAAGAACACCCGGAAGTGACCATGATGACTGATCAGGAAGTTGAAGATTTCAGGATTTCTAAGAACAACATAATGATAAAATATATTGATGAGAATAATTTAAAACTAATTCCTAAACCAGTATTGAAATTTTCACACGCATTTAAAGATTATCCAGAAATATTGGATGAAATACAAAAACAAAACTTTGAAACTCCGTCTCCTGTACAGTGTCAGGCATGGCCTATCATCATGAGTGGGCACGACTTAATAGCTATTGCACAAACTGGGACAGGTAAGACGTTGGCCTTTTTGCTTCCTGCTTTTATTCATCTTGATTGTCAACTAACTCCTCGTAGTGAACGAAAAGGACCATCTATACTAATATTGGCTCCAACTAGAGAATTGGTGTTACAAATTGAAAGTGAAGTATGTAATTAATTTATATGTGTAAGTAAATTTGATTTTAGGATTCATTATTGTTATGTCTTGTTTAGGTTAAAAAATATAGTTACAAAGGCATTAAAGCCATGAGTATTTACGGAGGTGCAAGTTCTGGAAAGCAAAAAGAATGTCTACGGAATGGTGTAGAAATTGTCATAGCTACTCCTGGTCGACTTAATGATTTTGTTGGTAGTGGTGCTATCGACTTATCAGATGTGACATTTTTGATACTTGATGAAGCTGACCGTATGTTGGATTTAGGTTTTGAACCTCAAATACGTGTTTCATTACTGAGGGTAAGACCAGATAGACAAACCATAATGACAAGTGCAACTTGGCCACCTGGAGTTAAACGTCTTGCTAAAAGCTATACAACCAACCCTATTCAAGTCATGGTTGGATCATTGGATTTGACAACAGTGAATACTGTAAAACAAGATATTCTTATAATGGAAGAAGAAGAAAAAGAGTTTTGGCTAGAAAATTTTCTGAGAAACATTAGCGAAGATGATAAAATAATAATATTTGTGAATAGAAAAGTAACCGTAGATCATCTTTCATCAGATTTATGTTTGAAGGGATTCATTGTTGAATCTATTCATGGTGGTCGTGAACAAAGTGATCGTGAAATGGCTTTGGAATGCTTACGTAATGGTGAAGTTAATATTTTAATAGCTACAGATGTGGCTTCTCGTGGTATTGATATTAATGATATTACAGTGGTAATAAATTATGATTTTACTAAGGATATTGAAGAGTATGTGCATAGGGTAGGACGGACTGGACGAGCTGGAAAAACTGGTTTGGCAATTACCTTAATGACTAGAAAAGACTGGGGCAAGGCCAAAGAGTTAGTAGAAGTGATGGAAAAATCTGGACAAGATGTACCTCCAGAGTTACAAGATATGGCATTGAGGTATGAAGCTAAAAAAGTTAGGGATAGAGCCGAAGGAGGTGACAGGCCATTTAGAGGTGGCAGAGGAGGTGGAAGAGGATTTTCGAGAGGAGATGGAGGATTTTCAGGGAATAGAAGAAATAATTATTAAGTTTTTATTATTACAAATTTGTTAAGTTTTTCAATATTCATTATTACTTTAAAAATTTTAAATTACTCAAATTCTATTTATATATTATTTATATTTAATATTGAGAATTACCTACATTATTTATGTTATTTCATATAATTCTATAACAAGTGATCAAACAAGATAGTTTAATAATTTATATCTGATTAAAATAATTAAATGTATTAATTTATGTACTGTATATGGTCCCAAGTATTCCATCAATAGCTTATAAATTCCTTATTAGTGAGTCATACTACTCATACTCAAAACAAATGCAATTATATTCATACTTTAGTTGAAAATAAGTGATAAACAAATACTTAAGGTTATTAAATTATTAATAAACTATATTGATTGGCAAGTATAATCAAATGTGTTAATAAAATAAATGAAAAGCTCTATGTACATCAAAAATGAAGTTCAACAAGTAGAATTATATCATTTGAAAAATCCATCGATGGAACTGGTAATAATTACAATATTAATAAAGATTTTGTGGAATTTATTCAAAGTTTTTTAAATAAAGATAATCTTACAATATTGTAGTATAAGTCAAGCAACAGTGAAAAACATTAAAATTTAAAATAAGACTAAAAGAGGAATATCTGTTTGTTTAATATTCCAGAATTAAAAATATTGACAGTCTGATAAGGTTAGTCATGAAAAGAAGAAAAAAAATTGTATTATGTCATTTCTATATATTTCCAAAAAGCCACAGAGCATTTTCTATAAACAGTATAAACTTATAATTCAAATCAAAAGAGGTAAAAAAAAAAGTATTGAAAATAGTTAAGTGAGTAATTCCTAAAAAATATTTTATATACATTTTATTTATTTTCTAACAATATTAAAATCAATGATTTGATTTTATCTTAATACTTAAAAATTGTGATATATTTTCTTAAAGGTGGGTAATTTAAAATAATTTAGAAAACTTATCAAGAAATGTGTGTAATAATAATATTATAAAATGTAAAATTTATTTTTTGATAAAAAACATAAATACTTATTTTTGTATTGGTCAGTATTATTGCAGAATACAATTTTTTCTACTACAAATTTTTATGATTTTTCATGAGTTCATAACCAAATAATAAACAATATATAACTGAGCATTAAGCACTATTAAATTGATCTTACTAATTACCATATATTATAGCCTTACTGGTGACTTTTAAACCTTAATAGTTTTCCTGCATATCTACCCTGCAGCCTTTATTATCAACAGTTTTTTCTAGTCACTATTAGTAAAAATATTTTGTAGAAATGTATAGATTGTAAAAAAAAAGTTTATTGCTGTTAATCATAGAAAGTATATTAAAGTATATTAATAAATTACTTAACATTATTTTTCTTATAACTATATTTAGAACTATTGTATAAATGTATTCATATTACACAAAATATAAGTATTAATATCAATCCAAGTAAAATCAAAATATTGTAAAATGTACAACATAATTTTTCTAATAACTAAATTACTATAAATTATTTAAATTTGTAATATTGTATTCATTTAAATTATTAGTATATAAATATATAAGTTAGACAGTCTGAAGAGGGCAACATTTTGTTATAAGTGACTATTAAAAATAAATTATAAATGATAAAATGGAAAACTATGATCAATGAACATATAATAAAACATAAATATTTGTCAAGAATAAATTATTAAAATTTTTAATTTCATGTCTGTTCTCTCAATAATTTGAATAAATATAATTGTCTGATCTAGAGGTCCTGTAGAACCTAACTTCTACAATTGTAATAAAAATATATGGCTTCAAAAGAAGCAAGGTTTAAGGGTAATAGAAAATATAACCAAAGTATATTAATTAGTAATTACCACTATTTGTTATTTATTACTTTTTTTCAAAAAGCTTTTTATGGGATACTAAACCAATCTTTTTCTAAGCACTATACGAGTTCGTTCTTCTTCATCATCACTCCCATAAGCTGATGACATACCCGATACAGCACCACGCCAAGAAGTAGCTTGCATAAGTTCTTGATCTGGTTCAGTGCGATTCTCATAAAGCATTAAATTAAGACATTCTTCATAGATTCTTGCTTCTGGGAAATCAACCTAAATAAAATAATTTAATTTTAGATTATTACAATTTTATGTTCTCGATTTTTCTGCTTATATAGTAAATAATAGAATGTTTTCAATATTTTTATGATATAATACTATCTAATAAAAATAAATATATTTCAACACTTAATATAATAACAGAAAAAATAACCTCAATACCTTTGTATGTTTTTTATCTGTAGCATAAACAATAGATGTACAGCAAACTTCAGCAACTTTAGTTGCCAATCCAAAATAACTCCAACAACATATTTCACTGGAACCACTAACATCTTTGATAAATAAAAATCTTGAACCAAAACGCAGTGAAAGTTTATCAAATAGTTCAACATTTTTTAGTAAATTATCATCAGAAGCACTGAAAATAAAATTTGACTAAAAATTTAGCACATAGGAAAGTTATATATATTATGTTACCTTGTATATGAATACTTATTGTTGTGTCTATTTATAAGAAGTTTAACAGTCGGCTAAAATAAAAGATAAATAAATTTAAAAAATATTATTAAAGAAATTATTTTTATTTACTTTTGTACTCATTGTAATAAGCTGACATAAGTCTGCACTAGAAGATGTAAGAGGTATACGACACTGAGGTTCAATTTTACATTGTCTTGACCGTAAAGCCTGTTGACAAGATTCCACTAGCGGTGATATTAAATAGAATTTGGCTTCAGCTAATAACTCAGCGATTTCATGTGTCTTATCTGGAAGAGCTACATGTTCATCCCGCAAGAAGTTCAACACAGAATTAAAGTGCTTTCCACAACGATCAATTAGGACCCAACCTGAACATTATTTTATGTTATAAAACTTTCATAATACATAATTTACTACATAGATACCTCATAAGATATACCTTCAGTATCAGCAAGTACTTTCATCCGTCCACTAAACATAGCTTTAAGCATTGTATCGTGTTTGGTTAATGTACTAATTGTTGTGTAAAATAATGAACCACCTATATTTAATTTTGCATATTTGGGTTGATTTTCTTGGGGCTGCATTTTAATTCAAATGGTTAAATTTTGTTAAATTCAGCAGAATCTAAATAGGTTTTTCCATTAATAGTATTAGATATTAAACTATTAAACATACAATTATTTTTTAAATAAATGAATAGGATATTTAAGAAATTTTATTGACATTAACATCTTATTGACAAAATTATGTTTCCTTTTAATATCAATTGTAAAAAAAAAAAGTATACTATATAAATAAGAATGTAAAAAATACTTACATCAGGATCTGTTCGAATACACGACCATATAATATAACTATAATAGGTAATTTATATTGAATATTAATATTCTAAAAAGGTATGGGAAAATAGAGTGAATAATAAATTTAAAAAAAAAATAATGAATTTAGGAAAAAATAAATTAAATATATAAAACGTTAAAAAATTTAAACGTGTAACATTAATAATAAATGATCATCGTAAGTTGATTTGGTAATTTTTCATTTTAGAGTTTTAAGTTTTTAACTTAAGCACTTAATTATTATTGACCATCGTCTATCATAGAAATTTAATCTATTCTGTGATTTAACTGCAACAGTTGATATCAAGTGATATCTCAAGCACACATGGAATGATAAGAACAAAAAAAAATGTTGACAAGATAATATGAATGTATATTTATATATATTTTATTTATAATATAATATCTATAGGTACCGCTGTGCTAGACAGTATACATTTTCGAGTGGATAAGTGATAACTATTATTAATTAGCATAGGCGATAAGCATAACTAGTCGTACAAGTTAGAGGGGGGGGGAGGGGCTGGAGTCCTAATTATGTTTTATAACAAAATTAGGTACTTATGAGAACATAATAATTGCCCTCACTACAGATTTATTTACTCATCTTAAAATACTTATAACTTGCTTCAAAATTATAATATAGTAAAAAACCCACGAGGTTGTCTAAATAATATTTTTACCTTTACATTTTATAAGAGGTCGATTCACTCTAATTTTTAAACTAATAGAGCTAAACGTGATCTGCTGAACGAAAAATTTGCTATGTTACACACTTCTCAGACGGAGACAACACATGCGGGATATTACGTCCTCTTAATAAAAAAGCGACTCTGATCCAATCAAAAAAATATTGTTTGGATGAATAAAAAAATTGATAGTTGGATATTGATTGACAAAATGTGTATTAAAATCTTAATACTTACATAATGGAATGTTTAAAATAAGCATGTACACTACACTGTACACATAAATATATTATTATTAAACATAATACTATAGTCTATATTATTTTACTTATAAGTAGGGCTGGGACTTTGATGCAAAAAGCCATCTTTTTTTCTGATGTTTTGAAACGTTGATCCGTAAGTATAATATGTGTTTTGGGTGATTACTGATAGGTACTCGCTAATAAACTTTACCAAATAAAGTCAATATTAGACACTAACCGTGTATCATAATAATTCATAGTACCTAATAACTAGTAATAAGCAATACATGTACTTATTAACTGGCTATTTATACATAATTGTAATGATTTTGTCGATTTTGATTGTATTCATTGTGTTTTTCAATAATGAATTCTATGAATTAATACTGCAGCATGGATAAAGATTAATTTCAAAATTTAGATTGCTAGAGAATTGATTTTTTTTTTAAATCATTAGTAATCCGAACAAATTGTTAATCCGAATGATCCCTTTCCTCAATCTCGCAATCTCGTTCGGATTAACGAGACCCTACTGTATTCAATTTATTTAGTATATTTAGTGTGATATATAGTTAAGAATTTTTTTGAAATATATCTAATCCACAAATTTACCAATACAATACGACATACGTACATTTTAATGAGGTTGGTTATGACTTATGAGTTATGATTAAAGTTTGGAAAAATACACTTGCAAGAATTTGACAATGAGTATTTGTTTTTATTATATCGTATTTTGATGATCAAAGAGTCCCTCAAAATTGCCTCTCGCCAGTCTCACCCCAAAAAACCTTGGAACGACCTTGTTTATCATTATATAGTATAATAGTATGATAGATGTGTAAAAATAATATAATATAAACCATGGGGGTACCTGCAATGTGTTAACTAAACTGATGTTACGTACCTACTTGATTCACTAGAAATAACTTATATTGTTCTTCCACTCTCTTTTTTAATTCGTTTTTTTCTACGATTGCATGCACATTTTTTCGAGTTTCGATTTCATTTTTATATTTTTTTACGATTGTCTTGATCGGTTCTGGTTCTTCATATTTGTATGTTTGCATTGTCTTCGTAAATTCCTTGTGGCATTTGCGATGGCAAATTCCAAAACAGTCCTTACATTTGTACACCAACTTAAAAACATTCATTTTTTACAGTATATACAGGAATCGAAATGATACGGTAAAAAATTGATTTGATGAAATTATGGCTAAAGTCCATGTTTAGATTTTTATGCGAAAATCGTAATATGTACAATACGATATAATTATTAATTACAATATTCAACTAATTTTTTATAATCCAAATATTTATTCAACGATTGAAATGATTAAATTTCGCGAGTTGCTATAATAGTTTCATGCAAATAATGTAATTATTATTTTTCTAATTTCAGCTTAATAATATTTAATTTGTTAAAATTATTATTTACATTAAATATCTTCGTTTACTCGTATATAGCAATGTTGAGCAATTTTATAAATCGGTTTAGTGATTTTATAATTATTATTTAAACGTTTTAACTTCTAACTTATAAGTAAGTCTAGAATTTTAATGACCTAAAAAACCTCAAAAAATACAAAAATTACTTAAAAAACTCAAAAAATGCACTATAAAAATGCATTTAAATTATTTTTAATATATAGCTTTAAAATTGGAAAAAAAATTTAAAATGATAGGTAGGTACTACAGTAGTGTATTTATTATTTAGTTTTTAATAGTATTGTTTGTTGTTACTTATTTAATTCTGTTGTACTTCTATTTTCTTAATCATTCTTTCCAAAATAATAATTTAAAAAAAAAAATTGTTATCGACGATAACTTGTGCTCTATAATTTATTATTCGTATGCCGCCGGCAGTTTGCCGAAAGTCTCTTTTTAATCGCAACAATTTTTGTTCATTTCATGAACAAATTGTAAAAAATGCTCTTAAAACTAAGAAAATGCACTAAAATCGTCAAAAAATGTCCTAAAAATATATTTAAGGTTAAATTTGTTAAAAATGCAATAAAAAAAATTACTTTAAAATAATCAGTAGGTAGCGATACCACGGTTTATGCCCTCATGGGTAAGTATCATATTATGTGTTAATTGATTTACTTATTATTTTCTATAAGCAGCTTATGTAGTCACCGCTTGTCTGGTACACCGCGCAATAACGAATCCCTACGAAGAAATGTTTATATATTAATTTTTATATTATTCTATTTCTTCCTATTCGCCATTCCGGCAGCACGACAATAATAAACAATAGCCTATAATAATTAATTATAATTATTATCATTTAGAATAACTGAAAATGACGCTTGTTTATCTATATAATATAATTACGATAAATTAGTCTATAGGCGAGCCCCCAAACTCCGGGGCCTGGTGTAAAATGGTCACGTTGCCCTCCCCTTTTTGAACGACCATGATGATAAACAGTACCTTCTCCCATAGTAATAAAAAAAAAAAATACAGGCTTATAAGTTATAAGTAATAAATGTTATAACTATTGCTTTTGAAGGCTAAAATCTAAATAAAAAATTAATATATTAAATATTTGTCACCTTGTGTAACAGAAATGAGATAGAGTCATAGAGGGAACCCTCCTAAAAATATTAATCCTGATCGCTCTATTAGTAAATCGATTTTAAAAAAAAATTCAATTATAATATCACTTAAAGGTTAAAGACAAAACAGAATTAAATAACACAGTTTAGAACCAGGAAATTTCAACACCATCAAAGAATAAAAATCACATTATCAACCGCAGATATCAAAAATGTAACCGGAATCGTTTCTAATGAAATAGAACTTGAACATACTGCGAACGGAACTGAAGTAGTTTTAGGGGAAAATAATTCCACATTGGAACCAAGTTTAGGCTAACCCTAAAATAATTGTGGCCTTGTGGATGATGCTATTCAATAATGATAATAAACATTAATTATATTTAATATATACGTATTACGTATAAATAAATAAAAACAGTTCTCATCGGTTGTATAATTTTATACATATAATTTTCATAGTACTATAGAACTATAGAAGTATATGCATAATACAATAATTATGCATTATAGTAAACTTTCTATTAAATTAAGATGATAAGAGTTTTAAGAGACAACCCGCCACTGACATGTATAAATAATAGTGGGCCGTATTCATGTAACTGGAATTTTCTTTTCGCACTAGCAAAACATTCATACCATCACAGCTACCTATAATATTTTAATGTTTGTCAACATTTATGAAGTTTGTCGTCCATAAGTTATTTTTATTGAATTTAATAAAAAAATAAGTAAGTAACTATTAACTACTTGCTTTTGTACAACTAAATATGTATTTAGTATACAATTTAAAAGTGTTTGTAGAATTTTATATTTTATAGAAATTTTTTTGATATTAGTATTACAATACTTGAATCATTCAAGTTGAATGTATAATATTATTTATATTAGCTATCCGATTCTTAAACGAATTTATTTATATTTTTAATGACATATTGTATTTCGTATATTTATAGATATTTTGATGATCATAATTAGTAAATTTTTACGTTAAATTCTTTTAATTTTTTGCTTTCTGTTTAAGATAAAACACAATTTAACTAATAGATTAAACATCCATTAAATTCCATAGACTACAGCTGAATGAAAATGTATAGGATCAAAAAATCTATCCTCGAAATCTATATTATGCATAATTATATGTTTTTTTCCAGATTAATTTATAAATTATCTTTGTACAACACTGCACACGGCATATTATATTTAGAGCCTTTTGTAATTCGAAAAGCCACATTTGTGAAAATTTACAATGGATGTACTGAATTGTGTTTATATAGTTTTTTTCATTGTATTGATGGGCAGCACAATAAGACACCACCACCTGTTCGTAAGTATATTGTACATACTACACCGTTGGACGACGTATACCTACTAACCACTATACATATGTTTTTCATACTAATCGCGATCACAACCATCAGGCCATGCAATCCTAGTACTCACGTCGTGGTTTATAATAGAATGTCGTGCGCTTGTAATTACATAATATTTTTCATTATAAAGTAATTTTATGATACCCCATTATCATAACAATATGTAATTTGTAATTTGTATTACGTTATGACTTCACTCGCGCAACAACTGC